CCAGCTCACCACGCGTCTTTCTCTCCGCGTTTAGGACCCTCGCGGTTCCGTCTGTCCGACCTAAAAATTCGCGCCACGAACCGCACAGTTCAGAGTTCCGGGAAAGTTTTCCTAGAGACCTTTGGCTAGTCAACAAGTCAAACATTTCTCGGCGGTGAACTCTTTAGGTAAAGGGGAACTCTTCGGGAAAGGAAATGAGAAAGAAACGGTTTCACATATATATATATATATATACATATACACGTATAGATATAAGAACGATTCAAGTGACTAACAGGATTGGTTTTCTCGGGTTAAGACGCGGTTCGAGCTAGCCACGAACGCAGAGATTGAATCATCCTGTCGCAAAAGTAAAAACCTGGACGAAGGAGCGGCACTTTCACCCGGCTCTATAGATACAGCGAGGAAAACGGCTATCTGAAATCCACTCGGGACAGTACGGCTAGGTAACTGGTGCAACGATAAAGCGGAAACCGTCCGAGGAATACCGTCCATATTGGTATTTCCGAGAGTTCATCGAACGGAGCACGGTGAAACGCGTGCGGCCAGCGACTGGGCTTTTTTTCCCGGACGTTTTCCCCCCGGTGCGGAGAAGCCATTTGTCCCCGCGAATCGAGTTGTCGGAGACGGGAGCCGGGCAAAAGGGACCACATCTACGATGACTCGGTTTTATCGGGGCAGCGGCGATTGCGGCAGCTGCGGCGAAAACTGATCGCTATTGCCCCGAAACCGAATAAGATTGGCATTAAAAGCAAAGGACGCGGTTATGTCCGGACGGAGAAGAGAGAGACGGAGGAGAGCGTTTTCAGCGGAAATATTGATTTTTAATCTGGCCCGTTATACCGCACCTTTGTGACCCGGTGCGAGGATGGATATTGCGCTTCGCCATGGGGCGATGGATATCGAAAATTTAAATCGACTCCACGGGATCACAGAGAAACAGGGGAAGAGCGAGAGGGAAATATGGCAAGTTTGAAACGCGTGGAAAAAGCCTGGTGCTCGAGTCTGGACGGCTATCAGAGGAGAATCACCGATCGGTTCCCTCGGGATTAAGGTAACTGTACAAGGTTGCGGTACCGCTTCGAAAATTCCTGCGGACGTTCGAGTTAATCGAGGATCCTCTCTTCGAGATCGTCTTCTCCGGATCGCCGAGGGATTTTCTCTCCTCCTCTGTTACGGAGAGAAGAAGTTGCTCGAGCACCGGTGTAGAGTGCAAGCAGAGCCATACTTCTCCCTGGTTCGCTCGGTCAATGAGAGTAGCCTACATTCGTCCGTGTGTGATCTTTTCCTCGCACGCACACACCTGGCGCGAACACCGTAAGTCCTCCTCGTCGCTCTTGGTGCCGGATCCGCGGGCACAGCACCCATAGGCGCGTACAAAAGGACACGAGCTCAGGAACGGGCACACGTACGGCGTTCTCTCCCGTGAGAAGAGACAGCGGAGCGCACACAGAGCGCACACAGAGCGCACGCAAGCAAACACGTCGACAGAGAGAGGAGAGAGAAAGAGAGAGGAGGGGGTGAGCTGCGGCAGCACGCACCAGGAGAGAGCCTGGCGCTCCTCTCTCTCCGTCTTCCTTTCTCCATGCTACGTTCCTGCCGGCTGGCTCTTCGTCTCTCGACCGGCAGGGGGCAAGTTTCAGTCCGTCCTTGTCAGCCCGATAGGATGCTGCCAGGCGTTCGTACGGAGCTGGAGCCTGGACCGGAGTAGTAGGTTGTACAGGTATGCACGAGGT